GTGGCAGTCACACACAAAGGAAGTTTTTCTAATACATTAAAGTATATTTCTCCATCCAGAAGATGACATATAGAATCTATCAGATCAGATCCACACTTCAATTTAGCAAGTAAATGAGCTGAAAGAACCCAGACATTTTATCAGAGGTCTAGGCAACTGTGCAGTGGTGCATATGAGGGCAATGGCACATCTGACTTCCCCAGCAATCATTCTCTGGTGCAGACATGTAGCAGTGATGAACGCTGCAGGAGTAAAATCAGTGATTCTCAACAAAGCATGCAAGGCCACACTCCTATAAAGCCATTTTGTTAATAAAAATACTACAGAGGCAAAGTTCTGAAAGCTGAATTAGGACCTTTGTATTCCTGGACTCATGAGTCTCTTTATACCAAAAGCCATCAGCAGCAATGCATCTTCTCTATAGAGAAAAAAATCATGCCAAGCATCAACCTGAGAGGGTGCGTGCTTAAAAAAAGGACAAAGCTTCAACCCAATGTTTCCAGATGCTCTGACATTAAATTATGCACTTGCATGAAGTTAGTCGAAAGGGAATTTGTATGAATGACTTTTGGCTTAAGACTCCTGTAAAATCAGTGCCATCACAAAGTCATTGGGAGGGGGGAAAGGAAGTCTGTAAGTCAGAAGAGTTTGGAGGAGAGAAGTCACTCCCAGCTGACAGGACAAACAGCTGCAAGTGGCTTCACCCACCACTAACCATTCCTTCATAGCAAAAAGAGCAAGGAAGAGACAAGATATGGTGAGCCAGGAAGAGAAATTCACTCACTTCTAACCTGCCTCTTGAAGTGACTGACTTGTCCACATTCATTTCAAGCAACCTGGACAGAGCCACAGCTACATGACTGCTGCTGAGGCTGTATCTGTGCTGGAGACGACCAGGCAGCTGCAGCTCCCGAGCAATCAGCTCAGCAGCCTCCAACAGCCTCCATGTCATGTTCTGCAGCCTGAGGAGGGAACACTGGGTCCGCAAGGTCAGCTTTTAAGGTATTATTTCATCTCATCTCCTTCTTGAAGCCTCACTGCTGCACTGTGTAACATGCTGCAGTCATTTTCTTTGCTGAATCAGAGGGATTTTTTTTTACTAGCGAGTTGATCAGGGGCCACATGTACAAAATACCCAGGCATGGACACTTTGGGGCTAGACACAAAAAACGTGAAGCCATAACACCAACTCTCTGTGCTCTTGGTCACTCTTCATTACACAACATCCTCAAATAGCTGATCCTTTCAGTATCATCGGACTCCCAGGCACTGTGACTGTAAGATAATAATAGCAACATTCCCATCCTTTCAATACAGAGACAGACTTGAGAGTGGGGACACAAACAGCCAGGTAGTGTATGGGTTAATACTGCAGGCATTAACTGCAGAATGTCAGTTATTTCCCTTTTCAGGTTCCTGTGAATTATTCCTCTCGAGGGCTATAAAGACCTGGTCAAAGCCAGATAACGCACAGTTCCTGAGCAGCTTGCCTATACACTGTATTTTCCCTGGACACAGCTTGCTCTGTTGCCTTCCCAGACACGTTACTTACACCACCAGGAACAAAAACCCCATGGAGGTTGACCTGATTTTTAAAGAGAGAGAACCTGGCTATGAGCAAGTACTCCAGCCCCCGCCTCTTGTTAGAAGAGAGAGACTCTGAGGTGAGACTCCTGGAGGGTGGTTGCAACTCACAGCTTTATCTGGCAGAATTTCACTTCCAAAACTTTCCTGGGGAATTGATGCTCTGAAAACAAGTCCAGTTGCTCTCCCCAAAAGTAGTCCATGCAGAAAAAAAAAAAAAAAACCCACAGAAAAAACCCACCAAACCCCAGAAAAAAAACGGGAGGGGGGGGAAAGAATAAAAAATACCCTAAATCCCTTACTATAAGGGTGTTTTCAGTTCAAGCACTGTAATATTTTACAGTTGTTTTAGCTAAGTGTTTCAATTCATCTTATCACAGTGTCAAACTGCTTTCAGAGTCCCAAGCACGCTGGCAGGGTGCGATGTCTTCACAGAAAACCACTCTTCCACCACAAGAAAGCAAACCCCAATGAGTCTGGGAAGAAGCGAGAGCAGCACACAACAGACACAGCACTCCAAGCAAACAGCTGGGCAAGGCAGCACACAAAACTCCAACCCAGTGCTATTCCCTACAGCACCTCAGATTTCCAGGGCCTTGACAAGCACAATCAACCACAAACTCTAAAGCAGAAAAGAGCTTCTGCCCCCAGCCAGGGCTGCTCAATAACACCCAGCTGCTGTGTTACACGGGCAGCCAGCAGCAGGCAGGTACTGGAAAACTCGACTGTACAAAGGCTAAATGCAATTTCTCTCTGAGGCTGTGCTGTCCTCTTCATATTGTAGACAGATCAACCTGTACATTCACTGCTGCTTTCCTTGGTTTCCTCAGTTTTAGGCTGGAAACACTGAGAAAACGAGTCATAGTGATGGCACTTCAGAATCAGCAAGTCTGATTTGAAACTTCGTGTTTTACTTCAAACTTCATTCAATACAACACTGGGCTCTTGAAGCAGCTAGGACCAAATAACAAACATCTCCTGAGGAATTCACTGCTTCCACCAGACATTCCTGCAAGAGCTCAAAGATAGCCTTAGAGCTGCTGGAAAATGAAACAGGCACTTCTGCTAGAAGGAGCAGGTAACAATTATCTCCCTCAATGTAAACATAAGCCAATTAAAAGCGAAACCAAAACAGGAAGGGAGAAGGAATGAAGGGTAAGTTCCCCATGTGGAAATTAAGAGGTTGCCATCTTACACCAAAACATGATTATTAGATGCTTTAGTTAGTGCAGCAGTAGAACTGGGTAAAAAAAGGGACTACCTTTTTTGAGGGGGAAGGAGGTGTTTTAAAAGCTATTTTGTGCTAGGAAAAAAACACACCCACCCTTCTTTTATCCATGAGAAGAAAAGAATCCTAATCACCAATTGCAAAAGCTCACCTCCCAGCCTGCTACCAGCAAACAGGCAAAGAACCTGACAGAGAACAAGGCAGATTTCTAGCTGGATTCTGTCAAATGGTTAGAGACCAGACAGCTCAGAATGCTTTTGCCAGACCAGCTAGTCACACTGAACTTCAGTTTCTGACCAGTTTATCTAAGAACCTTCCCCTTTGGACCGCCACATGTCCTAAGGAGACAGACAAACTGAAGTCCAAAAGGTGCCCAGTCCCGGGAGTGGCTGGCTCATGCCTTTGCTCCGCCCGTCCAGCACTCTGAGCCGACTGCAGAGAGCGAGTGGATCACAAAGCAAGCACCTGCCCGCACCACCGAGCTGCTCAGAAACGCTGACTCCACTGGCAAAGCTCCCCAGCCATTCTGCAGCAGGACCAAACCACTCCTGCTCCAGATGCACAGGCACCCACCTGCTGCTTCCATGCCATCTAAGGTTTACAGCACAACTGTAATAATGACTGTATTAAGGACCTAAAAGCATGCTCCCTAAGACCAGAGCAGCTTTTAAGCAATTTTCTTGGGAACAATGGTGAAAAGAAAGCCTGAAGTAGGCCTTTCTAGGATACCTCCATCACAAGAAAAGCTCTCCCAAAACCCCTATTGTTTAGTACTTAGCCAACATCCTAAAAAGTGTGAGAGTTTATTTTTTTGACAAACAATATCACACAAATACAAACCTTTAGTATTAGAAACCTGAATAACATGAACATTTCCAGAGAAATCTGTGTTCCCTTTAGGGGAGGCTGCTAAGCTCTTAGACCAAAGGGTAACTTCCAGCAACACAAGTTCAAAGGCACAGTTAACTGATGTATTAAAAGAGCCAAGTCTTTGTTAGTGGGATGTATGCTCTATTACGTTTTCATTGATTGTTTTCTTTTTTTTGCAGGATAGGAAAGCCATTTCTATTCACCCTATTAGCCTTTGCTCTATTATTGATCAGTGTCTTCTATTTTTATCTTTAACAGAGGTAAACAGTCTTCTCTCTGGGGAAACCTGTCTTGATGTCTTCAATAATTACTCCTGTTCAAGCTCCTTACATGTCAAGAACAATCTCAAACTTTCTGTAAGCAGAACCCATCTTCACTATTTCCTCTAGATTTCCCACTCCTCCTCCTCCACCCACTCTTGACAGCTTCAGAGTGTTCCAGGCAGCCTTCAGAGAGCTGTCCCTGAAATCACTCCAGTTCCTCTCCACAACTCATCAGAACTCAGTCACGCACACGTTCTCTCAAAGCCCTCCTTCCACTACAAGCTCCAGCTGCCGAGGCTGACTTTAGCCCTTTCAGAGCAATTGAGATTTCGAGTCTCCATGAGCATCCGAACAAGAGCCACCACAACTCACGGACAGTGCAAGAGAACGCAGGCACAGTATCAGCCTCCGCACACACCTACCACACCAGCACATGCACGAGGCGTCTGTCAGTCTATCCAGAACCAAAGGAACCCCAGCACACACACACCTGGTGCCCACCACGTTACTACAGCCTCCTGAGCCCACCCGGACAGACACAGCCGTGCGCACAGTGACACCCACCCATGGGCAGCCAGGAGCGTGACAGCGCCGGCAACGAGGGGGCTGTGCTGGGGCGTGTGCGTGCACAGCGAGAGCGGAACAGCTGCAGCAAGGACAGGCTGCGGGGAAGGAGGGAGAGCAAGGAGGCTGCCCGGGGTGGGGGCTGCCCTGGGCGCTGTGGGTAGACGCGGGGGCGGGCGGCGTGTGCGCTGGTACGGAGGCCGTGCCGGAGGAATGTGCGCGGAGCGGAATGGCGGGGGCAGCCCTGAGGAGAAGGGGGCGCACAGCGTGGGGGGACCGGGGCGGAGGGTTGAGCGGGGACGGGAGGAGTAGCGCGGGTTACGCCGGGGAACGGGAGGAGCAATGCGGGGGAGCGGGAACAGCGACCACACCGGGCCGAGGCGGGGCGCAAGGTGAGTCCGTGGGCGCCACAACGAGCCACCCCCGCGCTAGCGCGGCCCCTCCGCTCCGGCCCGGCCCGCGCGCCCACAGCCGCCCCCGCCACGTCTTACCGTGCAGCGGGCGGGTGGGCGCGGCCCAGCCCGGTGGGGCGAGGAGGGGTCGGGTCGGGCCCTGCCCGCTGCCCCGCGGGCGGCGCCGGCACCGGCGCGGGGGCGCGGAGGCCTCAGGAGCCCATGGCGACGCCGGGCCCGGCCCGGCCCTCCCTCGGCGCCTGCGCACGGACCGAGCGCGCCGCCCACTGCCCACGAAGGAGGGGGAACAGGATGACGTCACCGCGGCTCTCTTAAAGGGGCAGCGCCGCCGGGCGCGGGTGACGCGGCGGCTTTGCGCAGCGGCGGGCGGAGCCGTGCGCGTCCCGGCGCCGGGCACACGGGCGGGCCGGCCGATCGGCCAGCGGCTCTTCCCGGACGGCTAAAGGCAGGACTGGCCGCAGGAAGAGCCGCCCCAGGCAGATTTTCACCCGACCTCAGCAGCGCCGAATTCCCCCGAACCCCGAGTGAAACAAACACATGGAGAGGTGCTGGAAAGCAAAGCCGTGCCTCTACTCAAGTCTGAACAAGGCACTCTTGAGTCTAAAAAAAAAAAAACCAAACCAAAACCACAAAAGCCGAACGAAGGAAGAAAGCAAACGCACCACACCCTAGAACGTTTAATACGCCTGTGTTAGCAAAAGGAGGTGGCATCCTAGCCGCGATAGGGTTGATCATTTTGATGATTTTCTCCTTTTCTCCTGCTGCACTACAAGTCCCCTTGCCCATCTTGAAACAGATACGGAGCTCCTACCACACGTGGCCCGAAATGGCAGCGCATTCCCGTTCTGTCCCAGGGCAGAGCTCCTGCCCCAAACACCCCCACAGCTCCTAGACCCTGCCAGACCACACTTCTGCTGCCTCCCCCACACTGCAGGGAGGGCAGTGCTGTCCTATACAAAAGAAACGTCCCCTTTCCCACAGAAAACAGGATTTACAAGTGAAAAAGTCCAGTTGCATTCTGATCCAGCAAAAACATACTCAAAATGGAGGCAGGGCAAATGCAGGATAGAGGTAACAGCAGAAAACCCCATACCCCTGGAACTACTTTTCTCTTCCCATCCCTCCTACACTGATCCCTGGAGCTGGAAGACCCATGCAGCAGGGAAACAAAGGAATAGCTCTTCCTGGCCCGCTGGCAAAGAACAGGCTTGCAAAGAATTTGCAAAGTCACCAAGATCCATCATTTATTCCCAGCAGGTGTTTCTGAAAATAAGTTTCAAGGGTTTGACAGAGCCTGGAAGAAACAGGCCTCTCATCAGGATAATGCAGGGATGTGTAACTATAGGAGCAGCAATTTAGAAATAAATCAGTATTAAAATTTAGTATTTTACTGCCAGACTGGTCAGACAAGGAAAGGAGGAGAAACCCAAACAAACCACACCAGCACAGACACCAAAGCAGCAGGTGCCACTCCACAGAGAGCTCAGTCTGTTTGCATCAGGCACTGTGCTGCTGTCAAGTGCTCCACGCCCCTCTCCTTCAGGACTTAAGTTTGAAGAAAGCAAAAACAACAAAATCCAGGGTCCACCTCCGTGGAAGCCAGCGCACACCCAAAGCCAACGGTGTGGAAAGGCCCATCCCTTCCTCCTCCTCAAGGCCAGACACATGGGATGCCAGAGGCTCATATCCAGGAACCAAGAGATCCTGAATCAGATTTCACATAACTCTCGCCTGTTCCAAGGCTGCAACTGCAGAGATCAGCTCAGGTTTATTTTTAGGCGCTCCAGTCCTGTGCCTTTTTTTTCCAGTAATTCTGATCAAACTTGTTCCTGGAATTCAGAAACGGGTTCAGCAGCAAGACCATGCCTCCTGTGTGTAAGATGCGACTCCCAGCAAAGATGCCAGGGCCATTAAAGGAAGAAATGACAGATGCTGGCATCACTTTATCATTTTCTACTTTATTACTTCAAATTAACAACCACGATAAAGCTCAAAAAAGTCCAATATTTACACAGGAAAAAAGTACAAAATCCCCCCCAAAGTTCTTCAGGTTTTTTTTTGTTTTTTTAAATTACAAAGTAATAAAAAGTTTTGCTCTTTAATTAAAAAAAAGAGAGACAGTAAGAGGGGTAAATAAATTAGGAAAAAAACAGGGAGGAAAAATAAAGTGTTAAATAGAAAGGGTAAAAACAAACAAAACAAAGACTAACCCCACCCTCCCCGCCCTGCCAACAACCCATCGGCTCCACACTACAGTGACAGTGTGTCTGCTACAGGCCATAGGTCGCAGTGGTGATCATTGTGTTTCAAAGCCCCAAGTGCCACAAAGCAGCTTGAGTATTCCTAAATTATATTAAAAAACAACTAAAGTGGGGGGGGAAAGGGGGGGGCAGACGGGTGGGAGAGGGCAGGAGGGGATTGTGCATGTATTGGTGGATCTTACTTGGGGTTGCATGAGGAGAGAGCAAGAACCATCGCTCTGAGAAACTCCAAACTCCAGTTTCTGTGCGCCCCTCTCTTCTCCTCAAGTCCCACACTCTCGCCGAAGGAATTAAAACAAGTTTTAATTAAAAAATAAAAATAGAAAAACACGCACAGCCAGACAAAAAAAAAAAAGACCCCACTGCAGGGATGAGAAGTATATTTCTCCCCGTATGTCAGCTCCAACAATCCCATCCTCTGTGGGACCAGGTGCCTCTCCAAAGAGATCCCTCGGTGTGTGAGGACCACTTGGATCAGGGAAGGCTGGCACTTCTCCCAACAGCCAAAAAGGAAACCGCAGAGAAGCCACCCAAGGAAAGGAAGCCCGAGTCAATGATTAGGCTGTTGCCACAATTCCCCCTCACAGCTTAAAATGCGTTTAATGCTTGAGAAAATAAATTCTGTTAAAACAATAAAAATCAGACTCCTACCACCAATTGTGGCTGGAATCTGATTCCCTCCTGGCACACAAGGCTCCTGAAAAGAACAAAACAAAAAAGACCCAAAAAATACCTCACCCACCCACCACCAACCCCTGCCCTCAGAAAAAAAGGAGAGCAAAGTTTAAATTTATACGGCTAGAAACCATATGATTTGAAAACAATATTAAAAAGAAAAACTAAAGCAGGAGAGGATAGCCAAGAAGAAGGAGGAAAAAAAAAGAGAGAGAACTCAAAACCAGGAGCAGAGAGTCAGGAGAGGGAACTGAGGGCAGCCAGTGGGGGCAGCGGGATGGGCTAGGAGCAGCGCAGGTGCTCCCACGCGGCTCCCACGTCGTCGCAGCTCCTCGGAGGCGCTCAAGCCAGGGACAGGCGGCCCTCTGCAAACGGCTCACACCAGCGCGGGGGCACAGCTCCACTCCTCATCGTTGGCAAAAAGAAATTCTGTTGGGTTTTTTGTTTGGTTTTTTTTTTGTCTTTTTTTTTTTTTTAAGGTTTTTGTTTGTTTTTTGAGTTTTTTGTTTTTTAAAAGAAAAATACAGTGAAGACACTAAAAAGAGAATTCAAAAGAGAGAAAAAGGCAAGAGATGTTAGGAGTAAAAGCTCTTCCCAGCACTTCCATTGCCAGCTGGAGTGTAACAAATCAAATCAGCCCTTTCTTCTACACTCCTGCCTCCCCTCAGAGTTACCTTGCCCATCTACTGTCATTTCCCCTACAAGAGGCACTCAGTTGCTGTACAAAGTCTTGCACACTTGATTACCTGCTCAGCACCCTCCACCCCAACACTGTCACACTGCCAGAAAAGCATTCATGAGGAAGTAATGAAATGGCTCCCCAGCCCAGCATCTTCTCCACCCTTCCTATCCTTGTGGAGAACTGGAAGCTACCTTTACACCTAAGACAATCTGTTCCCTCAAAGTTTTGGCAGCCAACCTTATTCTTCCCTCTGAAGCCAAAAGACATCTCAAAGTAAGGTGAAAGGAAAGGAAATATACCAATCCCCCATAAGAACATAAAGTCTTAACTTAAGGCTTTTTTTTCCCAGCAATTCCCTCCTCAGGGTTTCCCAAGCAGGAGTACAGGCTCACCTAAGCAAACACTGGTCCAGTGGCAATTGCTCCTCACTTCCCAAGGTGATCAAATGGCACACTTGTCTACAGAAGAAAAGGAAGAGTTGCTAAGGGCTGGAGAGAAAAAATAAAGCAAAAAAGGCACCGAAACAGAGAGGCTGCCTGTTTCTCTCAGAACACCCTCCCTCTGAAGAGTTTACTGCTTTGCTTCTCCAAACCACTGTGGTCTGGAAGACAGCAAGATGAAGGCATGCTCCAAGCAAAGCAGAGAGCTAAAATGGCAGTACTCAGCATGGCCTCCAGAAAATAACAGAAGAGCAAGGGTGTAACTTGGTACCACTCCCCTCACCACACCAGAAGCTTCCAGCTCATGTCAGCTCCAGCAAATCAGGCAAAAATTGCTCTGGGGCCAGGATGTCCCTAGACCTGGGACATCCAGGCCAAGGCCAGGAACACTGCAGCAGGAACTCACCTGTGATGCTGAAATCCGTGACACTTCTTGCCGCCCTGTGAGGTCAGATGAGGAGACGTTGGCAGGAGCTCCTCGGTGTAACCTCATGCTGACCTTCCGCTCCCTGTCCACTCTTGAGATTGCTCTGGGGGACGTGTTGCCTGTTGGGGCAGAGAAATGTCGAGACAAGAATATCAGTCAATAGCTTTGGTTTCCAGCCAACGACAGGGGTGGCGCCCTCCCCCAGCTCTCCCACCCCCTCACCGGACTGCTGGATTCGGGAGGTGGGGGTGGAGGCCATGGGCTCGGTGACATTGCGGAGACGGTTGGCAGTGGCTCCGGCAGGTGGGCCAGGGGGCAGCGCTCGTGTGGCTGACCCTCGGAGCTGCCCCATCCTCTCCTCCCGCTCGTGCTCTCGCCGCTCCCGATCCATATCCTCAGGGTTCCGGGCTGCTCCCTGAGTAGAGAAACCCCCACACCACACATGGCTGTCAGGCAGGAGAAACAGCAGCAGCCCCAGAGAGAAAACACATATTGCTCCATCATGCCGAGGAAGTGGAGCTCCATCCCCAAAACTCCCCCCACTACCTTCCATTGCACCAAGAAAGGACCTCATTCCATTCCAAAACAAAACAGATAAAAAAGCATATTAACTACAGCTGTTATTACAATCCACATCTGTGTCCCAGCTACAAATATAGCTCTCTCCTGAAAAACTATCTCTACCCACCTCTAGCTATAGATTTACTGACACAAGTGCTCCATCAGACACACTCACTAATACCACAGTAACTGTGCCCCCCGTTAGTTATACACCAAACAACTCAGTCTCTTTTTCATTCTGCCTGGTCCCTTTGCTCAGGCTGCTCACCAGGGCTAAGCACAGACAGCAGGCATTTTCCAACCTTCCTCCCCCATCTCCATGATACAAATTAACCCTGGTCCAGCCCTTTTGCCAAACACACTCACAAATTTAAGCATGTTCCAGTCAAAGACGTAGTCATAGGAGAAGCCTTGGCGGTGGAAGAGGTTGCGGAAGAGCTGCCGCAGGTACGAGTAGTCAGGTTTATCATCAAACCTCAGCGAACGGCAGAAGTTGAGGTATGTCGAGAACTCAGCTGGAGAGAGCAGAGAACAGCTGATGGCTGGGGTTTGCCATCCAACCTCCCTGCTCCCACCATGGAGCTGCTGCAGCCCTTGGGCAGCGGCTTGCTGGACCCGGACAGCACAAACACAGAGCTGTGTAACACAGACTGAGCCTGCTGCTGGCACTGCTTTGGCCACCAAAAGGACCCCATCTCTCTTTTTACCAGAGCAAGTGTTATGCATCTCTGTCTGTCAGCTTCTCCAAGCAAGACCTAGCAAGTCACAGTGCCTGCTGAAGGAAGGCAGGCCTAAAGAAGAGCTGGAGACGAGTTTTGGGAAGTTCAGCTCTGAACAGAAGTCCTCCTAGCTCAGTAGCCTGCTGTAAACAGTGGTCAGAAGTAGATGAGAGGAGAAAGATTGGGGCAGATACATCTGACACTTCTACTGACATTAGCCCATCACCTACTTTCAGCTCCAGGAACCTCCTGATCTGGATGTAGTTCCTAACTCTTTAGTAATCCTCACACAATCTCTCTTCCACATACTTGTCCTGTCTCTCCTCCAACTCCTGTAAGATTTAAGTATCCACAACATCTTCTGGGGAGGAGTTCCACAGGTCTCCACACTGGCTGTCTGAAGAACCACATCCTTTTGTTTTAAAGCGGGCAGAAACCAGCATTGTTTCTTTTCCAATACAAAATCTGGGGTTACCAAATAATCAGCTCCCATCCAAACTTCTGCAGTCATAGCCAGAGAGTAGACTTCTATCATCTTTCTATCCACCTCTTTTTCCAGCAGACTCATTACTTGGATAGAAATCAACTCACCTCTGGTCATGCTTTTGGCTCTTTCCTCAGTTACACCATATTCTTTGTGAAACAGTGGGATGGACCAGACTTACACAGTGCATGCAGGGAGCAAGTGGGCCATGGGTTTATGCACACTGTTTGGGATCCTTACCTAGTAATTCCTAATACTCCCTTTCCTCAGCAGCCACGGACCACAAAGCTGATGTTTTGACAGAACAGCTTATTGGTGAGTGGCACTGGTCAGCCAGAGCCTACTGTTGTGCATGTGACCTGAGGACCAAGACTTCTCTCTGTTCTCACATACATTACTCCATGTTTACTTACAAAGAACTGCATTTGCCACCTTACGGCCTGGTTATTCCTGGGACCCCCCATCAAACAGTAAAAATTCATCAGCAGCAGCATATGTTCTCAGCTCAATGCCCACCCACCTCCTTTAAAATGCTCACCAGGTCCTGAAGATCCCCCCTCTCAGCACTCCCATGCCCTCACTAATGTAAGGTTTGACTGTCCACAAAAACTTCCCACTTCTGAACCCGAACTGTACCACGACCACTCCGCTACCCTTCCCATCACCCATGTCAGCAGCACATCCTGGTCTGGGGTATTGGCACTGCTCTTTAGGATTCAGGATTCCAGGGGGTTTCAGCAGGTGAACAAGCCAAGCAGCAGACAAGACAGCCATCAAGATGAGAGCACTTACAAGGGTACCCTTTGCAGAGCACCTCGATGGGCGTTGACATCTTTTTCTCGCTGATCCTCTCGTACTTTTGGCGCTTGGTGGCAGCCTTGAGGCCCTGCCAGGGCAGCGAGCCCAGGTTGAAATACATGAGCACATACCCCAGGCTCTCCAGGTCATCACGGCGACTTTGTTCTGTGAGAAGTTACAAAGGGGCAAGGAGTGAGCAGCAAACAAAACTGCTTTGGCAATCACATAGCTCTGGAGGTGAACACTGAATGGAACAATCAACCCTCTCACTTTTCTGGTAGATTTCTATAGATAGACAAACTTGTGGAAGACATTCCACAGCAAATTCCTGTGATGATGGTCATACTGTAAGAGTTAAGGTGCTTCTCTCCCCATAAAGCCCAACCCACTTCATAACTAATGACTCTGACTACCTCCTCACTGGGACAAGCCCTAATTGACACAAGAATTTCACATCTCAAGAATTGCTGCAGCAACCCTGCCTACTTTGCTCTTCCCAGTCCCAGAGGAAGGGCACCTACACTTCCCCACCCAAAATGATTCTTCAGTCCAGGGATTAGTCATGACACAGGTAGTCACAGATAGACAAAGCTAACAGAGCTAAGTCCAACACAGCCCTTTCAAACACATCTTCTAATTAAACTGCTGATAGTGTTTAAGCAGGGCAGAAACAAGGAACTAGGGACCCCTTCTTGTAGTAAACAACTTTGTTGATAGTAGAAGCCTAATATGTAATGTGCAAAGATGTCTTTCCAGCTTGGTGACATTTTTCAAGCTGTGGAGGAAAGGGGCACACTTGGAAGAAAAAATTCCCCTCCAAATGAGGAATGACTGTGTAACTGGCATCACTACCAACTCTACTTAGACCAAGGGTTGCCCATAAGATGCCATTGGAAGGACCTATATTTAGATGCTTACTTATAAAACAAAAGAAACTGGCTCAGAAAAAAACCCCCAGCATTTCACATTGACCTTGTTCTCTGGAATAGCCAAGCCATTTTAAAGTTTAAAGCTAGCTCAAGAAGGATTTGATGCAGAATCTCAACAACTGCAAATATTGCCTGGTTAACTCCTCCCAACTCCTCCAACATTGCTTGCAAATTCATCTATAAATCTTGCCAAGATTGTCTTGTTCTTGTTTCCCTCCCAAATAAAATAAACAATTTGGAGAAAGTACTTTACATCTCCAGAAGAACAACTGACACAGATAACAAGCAGGCAAAATACGGCTTAAGGGAGAGCACAGGGATAGAGGAAAGACTAAAGAGCTCCATCTATTAGATTAATTTACTACAGCACATTTTGCTGGATTCAGTGCCACATCCTGGAAGATGTTGCAGATTAAATACCAGTCTGTGAGCTGTCAGTATCAGATACATGCTACCACCTGCCCCATTCAAAGGCCAGTAGGTCACTACAGCTATCCCTTTTTTCTCTTAGCTGAGCTGAATCATGACAAAAGAGTAGCTGTAGCAGGTCACAGATATGCATATCCTCATGTAACAACATAAGCTGTGGGTCACAAGGCTCCTTCTTCCTTGTGAATCTCTCTCACAACCTCCCAGTTGTTTTGAGAACTCAGGGCTAGGCAAGTTAAAACTGTTGAGGGGGGAAAAAGTACTGTGGTTGCAGAAGGACAGGAGGGTCTCATCACTCCATAACTGATAGGAGAGATCATTTGGGTCAAAGCACATGAAACACCACAAAAATGCCACATTCCAAGACAGTAGAGGAGAAAGCAGCCCTGCAGATTCCCAAAGTGTCTTACTTTGAGCATGCAGAAATTACAGCATTTTTTGACCTCACTAACTTACTGTCTCAAGTTGCCCACTTTAAAGGGGCTAATACTTCCTAATCTTATCAGGCTACTGCCAAAGATAATTACATGACTGTCTGGGAGATACTTAGATGCTATGACAGGAACAGAGAAAAGAAACCCAGCTTTGCATTTAGCCTAAGGTTGGGATACGTGTACTCTCAGAGGGCTGCGATTACTCACCATGCATATCAAATAAACAAAACTAAACAATATTGGCTAATGACCTACATCCTTAGACAGGAGGCATGTGGAAATGGAGTCAGAACACACACCCAGGGCTTGAAAGCACAGGAGACAAGGATAACCTCAGTCCTGCAGTCTTGCCAGCCCTTGACTTATCCATGCTGTAGCTTTATCACCTCTAGCTGTGGCTTCTTGACTAGAGCGTGGTGGTTCCCTTCAGAGGAGTAGGGAAAGGCAGGGCAGGAACCAGACAAACCTACTGAACAAGCAAATCAGCCTTTCAGGAATAAATCAGGATGTCGCCTCCAAAATCCTGCTCTAACTCCAAACTGCTTAGGGCAGGCTGAATAACACACCTCCACTTGTGTAAAGCACAGCACTTTTGAGCATAGCCACCAATGCCATCCAGAATAGGATACATTCTGCAAACAGATGCCTGGTCACAGTCCCAGCACTTTAGGGAAGGCCAGAATTAGAGACTTGAGATCAGGGAGCCTGAAGTCAGTGCAGGATGCTATAAGCCCTCACTGAAGGCAATGAGAGGGGTTAAAAACCAAATTGGGAAGCTAACTAGTATCCATTAGGTGCATGCAAACACACCTTAACTGTGTCTTAACACAGCAATATGATCAAGGAAAAACAACTGCAAGCACAACACCTAATTATTAAAATGCTGAACGATAAGTGTTTGACTGCACTGCACTGATGTTTAGCACCTCACGTACGTGTGGTCACTGCAGCCCACTCACACAACTTCAGTGACACTCACACCCCGGATGAGCCTCATGTACCGAGAGCAGGGGTCACAGTTGGGCAGCTACCTCAAAACATTGTAGCAGTCTGTTTCCTGTAACCCTATGCACCAGATCCTGAATTAAACCTTGAGGAGGGAAAAGGACAACAGTTCCTACTTCCCGTTTCTTTGTTTCCTCTTCAGCTACTATTACACACCTCCCAAAATTTAATTACTTTTTCAGGGTGAGGATACTAGATAACATTAAACAGCAAAGAGCAAGAAATAAAACTTTACCTCTACACACCAATGAAACATTATTTAGTGTTACTACTTTACTACTTTCCACTTTTAGAAACCTGACAGCGACTAACTCTCACAGCATCTCTGGGCAGCAGGAAAAAAGCAAGATCTCACCTTCGAGTTTGAAAAGAGAAAGAAAAATACAAGTGACGTGAATGCATCCGCTGAGCAAGTCAGTCCAGAAGCAGGATTATAGTCACAGCCTGTGATACCACACTATACTTCCTCTCTCCATTTTATCTCAGCTGTCCTACAATGGGGTTTTTTTTTGAAAATCAATTTTATGAAAAATGTCTTTTCCTTAAGACATTCATCCTCCTTCCCAAAAGCCCTTCCAATAGAAAACACAAGGTCGCCTTCCCACACAACCCAGCACGACCTCCCAAACCCAACCCACAGTTTCCTCCCACCCCCAGTGAGGCTCCCAGCCAGCCCACACCCTCACTCCCTTCCCAAAGCAGGGTCCTCAGAAGCCAAGTCAGGGGTGAGTGGCAGGACAGGACAAGACATGCTTGGGCAAAGACTGAAGACTGAGGACTGGTTGCCTTAGACACAAAGCTCATGACAAAACATGTTTCTCTGCAGCATAAACTGTCTCCTGGTGCCCCTGTCCAAAGAGTGTTTTCCTCCACTCTGATCCTACCGAAGTGATGCTGCTTGCATGCAGAACTCCCTAGAAATCAGCTGTCTTCCCTGGAGCCAGCCCAGCTGCAGGCAGGCTTAACCAAGCAATGTTTTCCTGATCACATACTCAGCTCTGATCTTGCATATGCTGGACCAGAGTTCCCCTTTCTCTCCCCACTGCATGGCAACAGCCTTTAAAAACATGCAAGAGTCTGGAATGGGTGACAGAGGGCAGGATGAGCAGGAGGCCTCATCTGCACAGCCTACACCGATACCATCTGGGACATTCATCTGGGAAGGCACTGACCCCCCCACCCCTCAGTCACCCAGACAGAGACCATCAGACTTCTCCCAGGACTGTCTCACGGGCACCCCAGGCATCTATTTCAGACGTTACAGGCTACACTGGGTGCAAGGGACTCTCATCCCTCGAGCATGTGAAAATTGACTGGAATGCGTGAACTGAAGCCTGCACAGTCCAGTGACTCCCCCAACGGCAAGTCTCCAGCTGTGGAACCCTCCCCAGTTTTGCCTCCTACTTTTTTCCCCAGTCACCAGGAAAAGAATGTGTTTCCTCCAGACATCGGAATGCCCAACCCTTAGCTTGCAAATTCAAATAAAGGCATTTATTCATTTGCTATTCCTGTCACACAAATACCCCGGCACCTGGTTCCTCCTCTCTCCCTAGACCACATTAACGTTAACATTAAGACAGAGAATTTACTCTCTGAAAAGTAAAAAAATTCCAAGTGATGGTTCCCATGGCAATGCTGCTAACTCACAAATATCTCTGTCATATACCCTGTGGCAAGGTCTTGAGAAACAGGAACTCCAGCTGAAACCCAAACACCCCCACCCCCTTTCCTCCAGGCAAGTCATGTAACCTTTATGCCGTTCAGGGCAACTATCGGCAACGTGGAGATAATACACCCGAGACCTGTTGCACAGAGCAACTCACACCCAGACTCTCCCCAATCAAAGAGCACGGAGAGAGCTGTGGCTGCACTCAGACCCGTGGCATATGCAATTTGCCCTTGGATTACTGTTTAGACATTGTTTGCTCATCCTGACACACAAGCCAAGCAGCAGTAGTAAAGGGCTAAGTTGGGGTGGAATGAATAATGAAGTCGTTCAAAAGCCACAAGCAGACATTTAGCCTCTCGTGATCAGTTCAAGGCAGAGCAGGCACACACAAAAGAATCGACAGACATAGTAGTGAGAATTATTTTGTGCATGTCTCCTTGTGGCAGTTACCATGGCTGTGGAAATCTTGACTGAGAATTCAATGGAGAGTCAGTTATATATATATATGCAGGTCAAGCCAAAATACAGAAGGCCAACTCAGAAAGCTCTACAAGAACTATTTTTATAACATGGAAGAGGTCAGGAGATTACAGCCCACTCTTAACACACAACACTCCCATTTTGATTTAAATAAAGCATTCTCCATGTAAAGTTATATAGTATTAAGCAAGGAAGACTGTGGGAAAAACTGCTTTATTTTCTGCAGGCCAAGTATTGACTTCAGATATCTGAGAAATACCTGCAAGAGGGGAGAACGCAGGAAGAATGCGGACATGAAATCCTGTGAAAGCTGTTAGTTTAAAAGATTTGAGTGCCTTGCTCTGATTTTCAAATTCCCAGGTTAGGTTGTACACTTGAGAAGAAGGGCCTCCCAGAGATATAAACAATCTGCAAGCACAGCAGATACTTCCTGGGTCCAACAGGCAAGACAACTTCTGTGTTTCTGTTCCTTAAGAGTTGCCAGTCAATAGCAGAACCAAGTCAGCCTGTTCCAAATGGACCCTACAGTAACTAAGGAAGCCTCACACTGTGAACAAAGTTTAGCTTAAATTTAGCAGAGAAAGGAGGTCAAGTGCTGGAAAGAAGTTTTTGGGCAGAGAATAGAAGAAAAAACTGCAAGAGGTTTTCAAATAAGGTCCTCAGAGCCACCAGGGCCTGACACCCAGGACAAGAGATTGGGTGACTTCAGGAGGTTTAAGCGTGGTGGGTGCTAACCTGCACAAGGCCTTTACAAAACCTGGGATGATGGTCATCACCAGTGTAAGACCTGGCTGAACACTCAGCACTCTTTTCCAGTCCAGTTTCATCCCTTCTGTACTAACCATATTCATTAAGGGGAGAACCCTACTTCCCTGAAGTTGCCTCACTGCAGCTCACAGACATGCATATAATCTGAAGGCCTGTGACAGCCAAGCCTCAATCACAGAACAGAGGTGTTCAGGCAGCTGGAAGCTGCCCCTCATTTCAGCTTCCTGTATATTTCCAGCACATCCCTATCCTCAGTTGTGGGTAACACCATATTGCAGTGGGCCTCTATCTTCCAGCTCTGGCAGCTACAGAACAATCACTAAAGAAGGCACTAAAGAAGTCAAAGAGACAGGTTTCAACTGCACATATTCCTAAAGGTTCAGTGCTTGTGAATGTCTCCTTTACACATCTAATCAGCCTGCAAAAATTGTGCAAAGGCAGATTTAGTAGGAGCAGAGTCAGGGAGGTCACAGCCTTGATGCTCAACAGGGTACCCTGCACTGAGCAGTGCACAAACACAGACAATTTCTGTCTTCAGGAACTCAGAGTGCCACCACAGCAGCAGAAATAAAACAAATGTAGCATTTAAGTTATTTGCCCACCTTCTCAAGGCAGGTCAGCAGCAGGGTCAGGCAAAGAACCCAAGCCCCTCCTTCTGGGGACATACCACCTCCCCTGGAAAGCCCCAGAGAGGCAGCAGCAAGCAGGCTCACCAATTCCCAGGTGGGTGTTGATAGAGGCATAGCGGGCTGTGCCAGTCAGGTTCTTGTTTTCCCGATAAGGGATGTGCTGGTGGGTCCGGGCATCCCGGTACTTCTTGGCCAAACCAAAATCAATGATGTATACTAGGTTGCCCTTTTTGCCAAGGCCCATAAGGAAGTTGTCTGGCTTCACATCCCGATGGATGAAGTTCTTGGAATGAATGTACTCAATACGGCTGATCTGGAGGAGGGATAGATAAATAAATAAACAGTGAGACAAACATGAAACAAACTTATTTTAACTGCATCTGTTAAAAATAGTACCCTGTCCAAGACACTGGCCCATCAGAGTAAAAAAAGGACATTTTGCATTGAGTATCAGTGATGACAGCCAAGGAAATGGCACCCTCTGGACGCTGCAGGATCTGGAGATGGAATTTAACTCTGCACACCAGCCCAGTCCTCACTCTGGGAAGGTCACCATGAACATCACAAGGAAAGATGGGAAGCAAGTCTACAGGGACTAAAATTTTGAGCTTCAGCATTGACAGCTCTAACTTTTGAACTTAGCTGGTCCAGGAACAGAATGGGTCTGTCCAGAAGAGTTAAGGGTCTTGAATCCAGGGCATGAGCAGTGGAATTAACATAGGTGCCAAGAATTCATCAGGCAGGCAAAGGTATCCATGTGTGCAACACTAACACACGGCGAGCGGCAGGCAAAGGAAGGAGGGATGGAGATAAGGAAATGCCACCAGTGCCTAGGTTCCAGGCCCCCAACTTCATCAAGAAATAGAAAGCTGGCAGCCACTTGTGCTAAATGAAGAAAGCCTCAGATACAGCAGTTCTCAAGCAGAGGGGATGAGAAGGGAGTGTGTGGGGGGAAAAGGCATGGAAAAGGAGAGTAGGCACAAATGCTTCAGAGGAAACTTACCATCTGGTCTGCCAGCAGCAGAACTGTCTTGAGACTAAATTTGCGGGAACAGAAGTTGAAGAGATCTTCCAGGCTGGGCCCCAAGAGTTCCATCACCATCACATTGTAGTCCCCCTCTGCTCCACACCACTTAATGGAGGGAATACCCACTGGGGAAAGAAAAAGATTTAGCCCAGGGAACAGAGAGAATAGATGTTGAATCCCCTGCTAAGAAGCTCATGTATAACACCAAATCATTTCTTTTCTAAAGCCCTCCAGAATAATTTCCTTCTCCAACCACTCCCCCGGCCCCATCCTTTCCTTCCCATCTCACCTCCTCCCTGCATCATCTTGTAGAACTTGCTTTCAATGTGAAGCTGGGGATGCTTGGTTTTGACACATTCCAGTTTGATGGCCACCTCTTCACCAGTCGCAATATTGGCTCCTGCATAGGAATGAGAGTGAAATGAAGATTGCACAAGCGTCTACTGAAGTTAAACACTTTTAACAAGGCCTGTAAAGATGCCAAGACCTTAAGATTTGCCCTGAAATTTATTCTCTATTACAGAAATGAGATTCAGCCACTTTAACTTCATATGGTTTCCAGCACTGCCATTTGTAAATGCAGGCCCAGAGAGAAGAACATGAACAGGAAACCTGGTCTGATCCTGAAGTCAGTTTAGAACAACAATCCTACACGTGAACTGCCTTGTTATCTCAAAAAGTGACTGACTTTGGAAGGTCAATCTGCACATATCAACAGTTCCTAAGCTGAGTGGAAATTGTAGCTCCCTCTGATCATAAACCTAGCCCCTGAACCCAAGCAGCCCTCAGGCAGCGACACGGAGTATCTCTTCCCCAGAAAAATTACTGGTTACCTCAGTTACATCATTTCAACACAACCAATTAGTTCAGGAGGAGACATTACTAACATGCCAGCTCTCTCTGTTTTCTCCACAGCACTGACCTGCTCAATACAGACAATTTCTAAATCCCCAGTTTCTCCCTCTCCTGAGGGTTTTAATAATACCTTTATCTTTTGCCAACACAGAAACATTTGCTATATCACAAATTAGAAGCATGAAAAAATAAGAGAATCCAGTCCTGAACTAAGCTGCCTGGACACCTTTGTTGAAGGTATTGCTAGATACTTTGCAATGACACTAAAGCACCACCCCACAGGCTTCTCTCGGAAAACAACTGAGCTGCCAGCTGCAAAAGCCAGCACTGTGGTCCCAAAGTGCACTGACAAAAAGGAACAGGCTGCTCCTTTTCTTGTACCAGCTGAAAGGATTCCAGATGTTTCACATCATCCTAAAATGGAAAGAGGGAATATCTGTACACGGGTCACGGGAATGACACTCAAGACTTGCTTTTCTCCTCCCCCGCCATGCCTGCTTCACACACTGTGACAAGCCCTTCCTCGTATCTGAACTATCAGAAATTGCACTTAAACACAAATCAGAGAGCAGCCCTGATCACAAGCAGCTTATGAACACTGTCATAAAATAAACTGCTCCAGAACACGTGTGCCAAACATGAGCTGGAGTCAAAGGTGAGGTTTTGCAGATATCCCATAGCTAGTTTTGGTAGGTCTGGCTAATTTGTGCCTCCTGAACTCTGTGATAAGACTGAGAGTCCACAAGGACAAGCTGCAGATAAATCTCTTCATTTATCCTCTTTCACACGCCGCCTACACAGCCAGGGACCAAAGAAAAGAAGGAAATGTTCACACAACTGGATTGCTTCTCCCCATGGATCCAAAAGAGATCCATCTCTAGCTGAAGAGTTCTGGCTTGTACACAAAGTTAGCCAAGAGCTGCCTGCTAGCAAAAACACATGAGCTAGATGCTGCAGTGCTGGCTTGAGACAGACAAGCTGCTAGGAATTTGTAAGAGAGCAACAAAAACGATCGGGGCCTAGAGGGATTGATTTACTAAGGAAGATTAAAAGAGCTAAATATGTAACATAGACAAGAGATACAACTAAGAAGGGTGGGGAGGAAGAATGGGACATGACAACAGTCTACAAATATTTGAAGGCTGTAAACACTAAGGAGGGAGAGGAATTATTTAGGGTGCTCTGAGGGAGGGGAAGGAGGAGCAATGGGATTAATTTAATACAGATTTTAAAGCAGGATCCAGGAGAAGGGAAAGAGGAAAAGCCATCCTGAGAGGTAGAAACATTTGTCCAATGCTTACTTTTGAAAAAATGCTGGCATTTTCCACTTAAAAAGTGGTGGCCAGAAAAACAAGTTGATACATTCCCTTCACTCCACCAGAGGACCCTTCTTAAAAGCACCAGGCAGGTTCAAGTAGGAAAAGAGTAAGAAAAGGGACTAGTATCCTTCCACCTTTCAAATTAGTGTTCAACCACCGGCCCTCATCCAGCATGGAAACACGCAGGACATCCAAAAAACATAAGAGCACTTCCTTGCCTTGTTTCTTTCCCCTGCCTTTGTGAAGACTTTCCTCCAAATCCTCTGAAGCAGCTCCCTTGTCTGCTCCCCAGGGAGAATTTTTCCCTCTCCCAAGACATTTTCTGACACACAGGCAATGATGAGTCTCTCTGACTTTTTGCAGCATTAGCATTTTGAATGAACCAGATTCCCAGAACATGAACAATGGAAACATGAGTAAGTCTTCATCTCCACATTACCCTGGGTGTTGAGAAACATGGAGATGCATCCATGACTGGGCTGTCTGCAGGCAGGGAGGCACATAAAGCTGGAAAAGGGAAAGCAGGGGTAGGCATCAAGAAGACTCAGATTCCTCAAAACGTGATGATGCAATTCAGATGCTCAGATGGCCTTCAGAACAGCCCAAGCACAGCTGTTACTTAGAGAGAGAAGAAACAACCCTGTGGCCTAGAAGAGCACAAGTAGAGGATGGTTTGGGTTGGAAGGGACCTTAAAGATCACGTAGTTCCAACACCCCTGCCATGAGGGACACCTTTCACTAGACCAGACTGCTCAGAGCCCCATCCAACCTGGCCTTAAACACTTCTAGGGATGGGGCATCCACAACTTCTGTGGGGTACCTGTTCCAGTCTCTCGCCACCTTCATAGCAAAGAATTTCTTCTTAATATCTTATCTAAACCTTTTTCAGTTTAAATTCATTCCCCTTGTCCTATCACTATGTGCCCTTGCAAAAAGTCTCTCCCAGTCTTTCTTGTAGGCTTCCTTCAGGGAGGGAAGGCTGGAATTAGGTCACCCCAAAGCCTTCTCTTCTCCAAGGCTGAACAATTCAATTCTCTCAGACTTTCCTCACAATAGAGGTGCTTCATCCCTCTAATCATTATTGTGGTCCTTCTCTGGACCAATCTGACCTATTCTTTGCTCAGAGGGACACTGTCTGAACTCTTTAGGCTTGTTCCCTCTCCAAACCTCATCATACCTACAAGTTGCTCCCTGTACCATTTCTTGGCTAGAGATCCACCGAGACTGAGACCACCACTAGCAAGGAGGGAATTTAAGGGCAAGAGTCTTTCTGATCCTTTGTTCCATGCTTCGACCACCATCTTTTTTAAAGCTACAAGTACAAAAGCAACAGTTCTGTGCTCACAGGCTGGAAAGCACCGTGTTTCAGACAAATGCAGCAGAGTCTGCTAGCTTCAGCCACTCGAGAGACTGACTGTAGGATGGGGGATAATTCCTAACATCCTCCCCCAGTCTCGCTCCGCTGTGGGGGCTGCACAAATTCAACTCATTCATCACAAGCTCTTTGAAACAGGGCCCCGGGGACAGAGGATGTCACCGGCTGAACAGGATCTTTTCAGAGTGGAATCCTGACTGCATGTCTGATATAATAAACACCACCCTCCCGGAGCATCGGGGGCAACAGGCAGAGGCCCCGCACTCCCCACCGCCTGCGCCCCTCTCCACAGCCTGCCGAGGGAAGAATGGAGGGCTGGGAACAGATGGATGAAGGCAGATAGGGCGAGAGAGAGTTAACAAGCCAGGAAACAAAGGGAAGGCACTCCCCTCCCAGCAAGGGAGGAGCCTGCCACCAGGAACTGTCCCCAGCCAGCTCAGGTCCCAGCATGCTTTGTCTGCCCAGCTCCTCTCCAGCACCAGTGTGCATCCGGCCAAACGATTCCTACACGTCCAGCAACCCTGCCCTGCCTCTTGGCCAGCACCTCTGACAAAGCACCTCCCCCCCTCCAGCGGCCCAAAGCTCTCGGCAATTCCTCTGCAAACTGGGTTTTGCTCTTCTCAACGAGAATTTCTAGAGGTAAATGGGCTAAGCCAAGGCCCATGGGCAGCCTGATCTCATTTTCCACCCTCTCAAACCAATGGGGGGAGAATATGCCACCTAGCACACCTACCCCTCAAAGTAGGGCATGGAAGAATTGTGCTTCAAGACCCAGCTAAGGATTAATACAGTCCATCCCTTGTGTCTACACATGTAAAAATCCAAGTTTCCTTCTGACAGACAAAAAACCTAAAACAAACCCCAACGAGGACAGCACTCAGCACCTACTGGTTACAGAGCAGGTGAAGGCAATAAGAACCCTGAAAGAGAGAAGCTGAGGATAAACCATACAGCCCCTGTTAATCCCTAGAGACAGACAAGCCCTGCTGTGTGTTCACACCATTATCAAAGGAGAGAGCAGTGAGGTGGGCCTGGTGCAGGAGAGAAGTCCTGGTGAATGAGTCCTCCTGTGTGCAGAGCAGGCTGTGAGAGCACAGCACGAGCACCAGCGTCCTCCAGACGCACCACCACAGACTGCATGCCCAATCCCTCCAGGCTGGGGAGTCGCCCAGGCTCCACCAAGTCTCGCTATCACTGCTTCAAAACACGCTGGCTTGCACCTCAAGGAACATCACAAGGGCTTTGATACTGCATTCAAGTAACTTGGTTGAATCCTGCTGTGCTCACCACGCTGGGGCACTGGGCTTCCTGTGTTTGGTGACAGGCAAGGCAGGCACAACCCCCTCACCAGGGGCTATTTTCCATACCTGATTTGCACAGGTGGATGACCTGTTACATGGGACAGAGCAATACAGGATCAGGCCTTTCCATCCAGTACCTCCTTTCTCTCCCCACATGTACCCCAGATGTTTAGCAAGATCCTGACAATTTACACCATCCTAGAGAGGGTCTGGAATGCTTCAAGCCCTAGCATAGGTGGAAAATGCTGTGTCTGAGCTGTCATCCCTGAATCCTAGCACCTGGGAATTAAAAGCACTGTCACCCAAGACACTAACTGGTTGGAGGGCCACAGAGGAGCAGCATACAGGAACAGGCTGCAGTAAAGGCAGCACACAGTGGAACTGGATCCCAGATCCATTATTTATCATCTTTGTTCATATTCTGGATAAAGGTGGCAACAAAGCCTGTTACTGATGATTCCCACAGGACACTTAATCAAGAGGGGCTGCCAACACCAATCAAAAGAGAATAATAAAGCAAGAGGGAACTGCAGATAAAAACCAGAGGTTGAAAATAGACGGTGATTTACAATCACAGGAAAACATAATCTGAACTAGAGGTATTCAACGAAAGGGATTTGGGGAGAGATGGGAAGATGTTGGAGATCCTAGAAGAGGTCTCCTACGATACAGCTGACAGTGCATTAAGGCCAATTCTGAAACCTGATAGTGCTGGTGATGGGGAAAGCCAAGGAGACCCAAAGCAGCCAATGCAGAGGCATCACATTACAGATCACTCGAGGGTAGTCCTCCACTGCCAGGCACTGGAAATGCCACACCTCAAAAGCAGTGTTGGCTCCAAGCTGCCAGCAGATGAAGAAACTAGGAAACATTGAAGGACCAGCAAAAGTGAGCAGTTGTGGATGTACTGGGAAGCAAAATACAATCCAACTGAACAAATTAATAGCCAAGGAGCACATGATGACCCCCTGCAAGTACCCAAATGGTGCAGACACCAAAGCAGAGGGCAGCCCTTCTGCTGGCCTGCAGGAGCACAGCACAACAGTAGTGGTGAGAACCAGAGACAGGTAACGCCAGCCCTCATGGAGGGACCGGGAAGGCCGCTGGGTAGTCTCGCCACTGTGGCCCCACATGGTCTGAGCCAATGAAAACATGAGCAGGCAAGCATCAGGGAATATATCTACACATCAGCACACTGGCTTGGGAGAACTTCTACCCAACTTTCCTGTGGTAACAGGAAACCCAGCATCTCATGGGTTCTGTCCACTGAGCTTCCAGCTCAGGTCATTCCAGAAATTAACTCTAAATCCCATTACAGATCTAACAGATCTGAGCCCTGGGACTTCCAGGCTCTCTGACCTGTTTTACACGTCCTGTCTCAGACCTTTCTCTTACAGGTCCTGGACCACCTCTTCCACTACCAGTCTTCCCGAAACTGTATTCCTTCTATCCTTGAAGGAATAGCTATGTCCTCCCTTTCCACCACACGCTCTGTGAACAGAGTTTAAACCCACACACACCCAAGCTCAAGAAAGGGAAGTGAGAACGCTGGAATAGGGTGTATGACAAATATGCCCCAAACAGTCCAAATCTAAATCAGTCTGATCAACCACCACTATGTCTTCAGTATGTGGTAAGGCAAAGCTGAGCTCATCCCCCTTTCTTTGCCATGAGAAGACCAGCAGCCACCTGCAGTATTCCATCAGTTTTTTCTCTTCTTCACCCCTTCCAACCTTACATGGTGCCCACAAATAGCAACAGGCAAGAAAAACAACCCCAAAACAATGATGCAATTGAGAAAACCAACCTTGAGACAGACTCTCACACTCACCTAGGTAAATGTCTCCAAACGAACCACTGCCAATCTTTCTGCCCAGCCGATATTTGTTTCCCACTCGAAGCTCCATGGTTCAGTCGTGCTAAGAAAAGAGGCACAGAAAGAGCAGTGTCAGAGCAGAAACAGGAAGTGAATCATGTAACACTGCAGAAGAGACCTCCCCACTTCACCCAGAGGCTGAGTAGTTTTAAATCTTTAAATACTTCACTTTTTACATGGCTTCTATCACCTCTCCTGATCTCCTGAACTTCCAGGGATAACATGAGCAAGAAACACTGCAGGAACAAAACACCCTCAAGCATGTTTTTCCCATGTTCCCACTATTAGAGTGAAGCATGATTGAACCTCTTCCCCACCTTTTTGCTCAGAGACTAGGAAGGGGTTCAGGAAAGCCCTTCTAAGAAGGTTTCATTGTGTGATCATGCCACACTACTGCCAAGAAGTACTGCTTCTTGTACCTTACAGTGCCTGGCACTGGGACACAAGTACCTTGTGAGACACAGAAGTGTCAGGCATAATAAACCCTGTGAGGAGTTTCCCTCTGACCCAGCCCTACTCCAACACCTCGGTGGTGGTGGTGAAGCACAGGACCCAAGGGCTGTGAGGGACAGACAGACTGCCAGGAGAAAGCGACTCCATTTCTCCTAGGTGGGGCCCAGGACAGGGGACAGGGAGGAGACGTCTGGCTGAACTGAACCCTGCCTAGGAACACCCCTTGCTCATCTCCATACACTTCTGCTGATGTGATCACCACCTCCTTTGGTCTACCTGAGCCTCTCCAACTCTCCTGCCTACCTTGTGCTTTGAGCAGTTCAGGCCTTTCCTCATCCCTTTACTTGAGATGATTAGCTAACCCTTTGACCTGATATACCCCATCAACATGCCCAGGCTCAGCCTATTCACCTTCCACAGAAAACCAACTAGGTGGAAGAACCACAACCACAGAGTTTTGTTCTCTTTGCCAACCTCAACTTCTGCTGCAAAGACCTTGGCCCAACACAGCTCAAGCAGTTCCCATCTTAACAGCCCCCTTTCCCTTGCCTCTTCTATGGCCACCAACTTATTCTAGGAACCACATCTCTTCCTGAGACAGACAATGTGTCTCCTTTTAGAGGGATTTGCCACAGTCCTAATTTATGCAATGCCACATTATTAGCGTACAAAATGCAGACACAGAGCCTGTTGGGGACAGGAAAGGTGAGGAATGATTCATGTTTTCACAAGTGGGAGCAAGGAACTTTCCCTTGCTGGAGCTTGGTGGGAAGGAAGCATCACTGAAGGAAATACAGGAGAGATGGCCTTGTGAGGCAGAAGTACAAAAAAATAATCCCAGCCACAGGATTCTGAGCATACTATAAACCCAGAGCTCCTTCTTCTGCCCCAGGAGATGGGTTTACAGAAAGAAGAATGGACGGGCAGCGGAGATGTACAGGGAAATAATCCTATCAAGGCATTCAGGGGACATTGTGAACCCTGAAAGCAGAGCTCCAGTCACCAGAAACCACACACAAAACACTCAGAGGTGGAGTCCCCTCACCTTGCATTTGCTTATGCATGTGGGTTTCTGGGCATCTAAAGTCTACAAAACCCTGTGGCTATTTCTGACTTTCTTACTACCAGGAATGTAGGCAGAGCCTTGGGAACTGAACCAGGAGGCAGGCGTACCTGGGTGAGGGCACAGCAAACAGTCATGGTTTTTATCCGCTGCCTGCTGTTCTGTATAACCACATTAACATACATCTGACTTGCTGACACTCCTACTCCAATAAACGATCAAAGGTCTGTGTCCCCGGGAACCCGTCACACCACTGTCAAGAAGACAGCTCTCGATCCTCCTTCCTTCATGGAGTGTTTACCCAGGCCTGGGAACCCCAAACACCTCCACCTGAGTCCAATTCCCAGCTGGGGTGAGCACAGCCGAGCAGAGACTGGGCAAGAGGTCCCGGGGGGTCTGCGCCGCACTGGGACACAGCAGGGAGTGCTCTGCAACACCACAGTCCCAAACCTAAACTCGGACCCACCCTTCTGGGACAGGCAGGAGCCAGGTTAAGAAGGGATTCTCACACAACGAGGCAGTAGCCCTTGTAGCTGATTAAGCAACAGGCTCCAAAGGGGAATCTAAAAAATGCTCTGGGGCGCGGGGGTGGAAGCGGGAAGCAGGATAATGGAGTAAAAAAAATCATGGTCTCGCACAGCTGTCATTTTGCCTTATCTCCCCCCCAACACACACACATACACAAGTGTGAGTAGAAAACCTGGGCTGAGGAGAGCCAGAGAGCAAGAGCCTGGATTCCTGGTAAGAGGGCAGGACACACACATCCCACCCCCTCAACAACTGGTCCAGGAGTTCAAACATTATCCCATTTGCTTCTGTTTCACACATGTACCCCCACCACCATCTACAGCTTCCGCCCTTTATCTTTTCATTCTCAGGTCTACTGTTACAAGGAAAAAAATTGTACCGAGAAAATATATATTCCTATATGTGAAATCTGTATCACCCCTCTATGTAGTATTTATACATGTTATATTTAAAAAGCCATCCCTCCTTCCCACCCCCCCCTCTCCAGCCTTAACCCCCCCCCAACCCCGCCACCTTTCCTGCACTCTACAGCCAAGGCAGCATTCCCAGGGGCTGCAGGGCAATCATTTAGTTAAACCATTTAGTTTTCCATAAGGGATTAACACACATACAACCTCAGAGCGAGAGTGTGCTCTGCATGAGCATTTGCATACGTGAATATCCAATACTACACAGCCTCAAAAAAATAATAATACTATCCAGCCGCCAGCACTGCTTCCCCACACACACCATTTTGCACCAGCCCTTTTTATATAATATAAAATACCCACGTACAGGCACAAAGGCCATTATATAAACACACGATAAGAATTGATATCACATTGCTGTGCCAGCAACGATGGCGACCAACGATGCAGGGACCATCGGGGGTGGGGGGGGGGGAACCATCAAGAGGGGCTGGGGGACAGGAGGGACACATCTGTCCCACCCGAGGGGGTCGGGAATGAGAAGATGCCCGGTCTAGCAAAAGCCATACAAAACCAAACAACCAAACCCTCGGTTCCATAATGGAGGCTGCCGATCCCAGCACTGCTCCGGCTTTCAGTGGAAGTGTAGGGAGTGGGGGCTGCTTTACCCATAGACCACATTGAGGCTTTACACAGCTTTTTTTTTTTTTTTTTTGGGGGGGGGAGGTGTTGTTTGAAGGGGAAAAAGGATAGGCTGGGAAAACAGTAATTTGAACTGGCTTTAAAATGTGAAGGAAAAACGAGAAAAAAATACATTTTGATTGAAATGCAAAACACCAATCCCCTCCAGACCCCTAGACACTTACAGAAAGGAGACCAGCATATAAGATGGGGGGAGAAAAGAAACCCCAAGCACAGGGCATTTGAACTACATTTGAGGAAGAAATAGCCACAACAGGAAAACAGGAAAGGGGGGGACACACACCATAAAATATAATAATAAATGTGTTCCTTACACCCCCACCCCCTACAGGCAAACACTACGCGAAGACAGCCGTACCCGAGCTGTTATTTTTCCGGGTAGGTAACAAAAAGCTGCCACCTCCGGGAACGGCGCTGAACTTCTCCTCGTCCCCCCACTCGCACCCGGCCTCGGCCACTGACCCCCGCCCCTACCGCCCCCCACAAGAGGAAACATCGACCCCACAGTCCCCCCAAACGCAGACACCGCTTCTCCCCCGAAAGAGGCGGTGTACGGGGGCCGGGGAGGGAGGCCAGGAGCATCAGCGAAC